ATAATCAACTCTTCCCGACATCTATTGGCGAATAACAATACTATTTTTCTTAATTGAGGGCAACTAACCGCTTTAAAGTCACAACAAGATGGCGTTATCAACAAAAAAAACCGAGCATCATCTAGTTACATTTAATATAGGTTTCGGATTCCAATTAACATCATATAAATAGATGTAAGGACCACTGTGTACAAACTCAGCACTTTGTCTTGCTTAGTCCTGTGCACATGGCTAATGTTGCAAGCCAGATTTTGTTTCTTTTTAGCTTGTGATGTATATTGTGTGCCTAATAAATAAAAAAATAAATAAAAAAAACATTCCAAATTTCACAACGTATTTTCGAGAAATTTCTAACTTTTTCTACTTTTTTTTCCTACCTATGCCTTGAGAGACTATTTCAGCCTCTCCTTGACGTGTAGGTAAGCTCACAGGGCTCAAACCGGGAGTGTTGCTAACACTGGCAAGAGCAGTGCTTCGCAGAATCTACCATCGGATCTGAAACGCGACCCACTGAGAAGATCCGTCGAGAAAGTGTTTCTTCTAATATACCTTGGTATACCTTATTGCCATTTTATGGATCCGTCGCGTTGAGTAATTAAATAAAATCAAATATAATAATAAACTTATTTCCTTCACAATCTCCAATTTAATCCAAACGAGTCTCAGATTGATCACTAAAAACGCTATAATTAACGTTCTTGTGACGTCACAGTTCGGTAAACAGCGTAACCTTATCGACGGTGACGATTTTTCGACGTCACCGAAATGAGTCCGCACCGGTAGGTACCACCACCCTGCCTATCTCTGCCGTGAAGCAGTAATGCGTTTCGGTTTGAAGGGTGGGGTAGCCGTTGTAACTATACTGAGACCTTAAAACTCATATCTCAAGGTGGGTGGCGCATTTAAGTTGTAGATGTCTATGGGCTCCAGTAACAACATAACACCAGATGGGCTGTGAGCTCGTCCACCCATTAAAGCAATAAAAAGGAATGATTATGTTGAGTTTTTAGTACCGTTAAAAAGATTTTAGTAATCGAATAATAATTAAACCCATTTACTGCAAGAAAACATTTTTATTGAAGGAACAAACATAATAAATGTAACAATGCATTGTAACACGATCACACGCGTTCAGATATGTGACGATAAGATTTCGTACTAATCGTTTCTTGGTACAGGGCTGGCGCGTAAATTTTTTTTTAATTTTTTTTTTATTGCTTAGATGGGTGGACGAGCTCACAGCCTACCTGGTGCCAAGTGGCTACTGGAGCCCATAGACATCCACAACGCAAATGCGCCACCCACCTTGAGATACAAGTTCTAAGGTCTCAAGTATAGTAACGACGGCTGCCCCACCCTTCAAACCGAAATGCATTACTGCTTCACGGCAGAAATAGGCAGGGTGGTGGTACCCACCCGCGCGGACTCACAAGAGGTCCTACCACCAGTAAACTCACAAGAGGTCCTACCACCAGTAAACTCACAAGAGGTCCTACCACCAATATTCTTCGTCCTTAATAAAAATCGCTTAAGAATCGATTGTCACAAATCATAATTGTTTTCATAAAATTATTGACGTTCTAGATTTGGAACGTAAAATTAGCTAAGGATTATTGTGTATGTGGTTGTAGGGCGCCTTTTGAGTCCAAACGGGTAGGTACCCGTCTGGGCCCAAAAGGCGTACCTGTACAATCTGTATGCAGCGTCTCCTCGAGTACTTCGGACACGTGGCCAGACGAAATCGTGACAACTTGGAAAAACTAATAGTTGTAGGTCACGTGGAAGATCGCCAACCAGGTGGACAGACATTGTAAGGGAGGCCACAGACACCAGCGTCCCAGGCGCCATTAAGCAGGCCGAATGCAGGCAACGTCGGAGGAAGCTGGTGCAGAAACTAGACCAAGGTGGTCACGACCCTCAGTAATGAGGAAGCGACGAAGAAGAAGGGTAGGTAAAAACACCTCATCTTTTTCTGCGGCGAAGGAATTATGGGTTCCGATTTGTAGGGTGAAGCAGTCGTTGTATTAAAGAACTGAGAGTAAGAGTTCATATCGGTTTGCTTTGTGCGAGTTTTTTAACGTTCTCGATAGCGTAAATAGCGTAATTTTACATTAAAGCCTTCGTCAAACAGAACGCGTACTTAGCGCGCGTCAGATCGCTAAACTAACGCCGCGCTATGACGCCGAGATTTGTTGTACTACTGTGGTAACATACCGTCACACAGAGCGCCAGCGCTATAAGCGCATAGCTTAGCGCTCTGACGCGCGCTAATTACGCGTTCTGTTTGACGAAGCCTTAAGAGGAAAGTATCAAAACGCCTTAGACAAAGTCGCCACCCACCTACAATATGTGCTTAGTGCGAATTTTTTAACTTCTCGACCGCGTAAAAGTTATCTCAAATTTGTATGGAGTTGGAACGTTTGCCTACGTTTGCCGCTAGGGGCGGTGTTACAACTCCATACAAATTTGTGTTAACTTTTACGCGGTCGAGAAGTTAAAAAATTCGCATTAAGCACATATTGTAGGTGGTTGGCGGCTTTATCTAAGGCGTTTTTATACTTTCCTCGTAATGTAAAGTGACACAATGTACTCATATCTTACATTGCATTGTAAGGTGATAGCAGGCGTTGACATGCAATATGATTTGTTATATACTCAACTCATATGATTGGTTACGAATGTGTTTAACGTCAGCACGTAAACGATACCGTGGAATAATTGATTAAAATTTTGCTAAGCTATTTGTATTCATATATTCAGTTGCTTCTAAATTAGGGCCTTCATGAACTATGGCTGGCAAAAAAGTGACTAAAAAAGAGATAATTTGCTTTAGTGTCGAATACAGAATTCGGTGTATGTTACCTATTATTAATTTTCGCGATAGTATCTTCTAGTAAGTATAAACATTCTCTCTCTTCCCAGCTATTTATCTCACATGGTGATGGGGTCAGCTTTCCTGACTTTACTCCTCCACTTCGCTCTGTCTTCGACATCCTCGTCAGCAAAATTGTTTTAAAAAAAAAATGCGTGCCAGCCCTAATTTTACACAATACGTTGTGTATATTATTACACGCGCAATATTTTTCGCGAGTTACAATCTGTTGACCAGATAAGGCGACACGAATAGATAGCTTTTGATAAGATTCTGATAACGGTCTTTTAAGGTTTTCATATTGTGTATATTCGATTTATGAAGTTGTTGATTTAAATTAAGTTTGTCTTCCATTTGAGTTTGGGTATTAATGAATTACGTTCTTGTTAGGTAAGTTCATTCTAACCACCACCCCGCCTATTTCTGCCGTGAAGCAGTAATGCGTTTCGGTTTGAAGGGTGGGGCAGCCGTTGTGACTATACTTGAGACCGTAGAACTTATATCTCAAGGTGGGTGGCGCATTTACGTTGTAGATGTTTATAGGCTCCAGTAAACGCTTAACACCAAGTGTGAGCTCGTCCACCCATCTAAGTAATAATAAAAAAAGGTAATTATGAAAGTGTGATCGAAACGAAAACCGCAAAAACTAATTAAATAACAAGAACTGATACTGCTTCGAACGACCTTTTCGACACGACATCATAATCCTAAATAATATCCACATTGCAAACTTCCAAGAGTTGTAACAAAAGAGACAAAGCACACTGAGTTAACAAGGATAACACAGATAATAAAAAAAAAAAAAAAATTTAATATTCGATTTCTACTTCGATATTAAGATGTCGTATTTTCAATAAGAACAGAACTATGTGATCATGCAGTAGCATTGCAGAACAAAACAATAAAAGTGATGTTGGTCGACATTTCATTTTGAGGATCCCCGCATAATATTATCTGGGATTCTGGGCTCGATGTTTCGAGTGGTATTCAGTGCCAAGTTGGTGTTTTTTTCTTCTTTTTTTCTTTTTATTGCCTTTGTAGGCACACCAGCATACGGCCCACCTGATGGTAAGTGGTCACCGTCGCTCATGGACGTCAGCAATGCCAGGGGCAGAGCCAAGTCGCTGCCTAAAAGGTTGGGAGTCCTCAAAAGAGCATAGCGGTACTACCTCAAGTCTCGTCAAAAAATTGGGCTTTAGACAATCTTTACCTAAGTCCACAAGCGACAGTGGGACGGACGTATGCTCATCGCGCCTACAAAGATAATAACAAAAGGCAAGAGTATAAGTATTTAAATTGTAAAATGAAAGAGAATTTATCGATCATAGCTATAGCTGTAGTAAAAGAAATCTGGATCGAACTGAATCGCATCAACAATGTATACAAGAAATTTTACATATTCTTTAATGGCGTCTTTTACTAACTCAACTATATTTTTAAATAATCTTCTGCTGCTACTTATAAATTGTCCTCTAGAACTTATAAAACGAAATCTATACTAATATTATAAAGAGGAAAGATTTGTTTGTTTGTTTGTTTGTATTGAATAGGCTCCGAAACTACTAAACCGATTTGAAAAATTCTTTCACTGTTTAAAATTTTAGAAGCTACACTATTCCCGAGTGACAAAGACTATAATCTATTTTGAAAAAAATTAGGGATCCTTACTAAAACTCCAATAATGTAACCCAAGGTGTAAAAAAATTACCTAAAATAAGTAATATCACCTTCACACTACACCTACCAAGCTTCATCTCTGCACCCTAAGGTAGACTGTTAGAGAATGCCTATGGCATTAAGTCCGCCTTTATGCTTTCTAGTATATGAAGTTATAAATAAACAAATAAAAAATAAAATATTCTTTAGATCGCGTGTCCTGCGAAAACTATTGATGATAGAATAAAATAATACGTACTACGACTTTGTAGAACACATTATTATTTACAAAAAGTGTCGCGACAATATATGTCTAACTATTATAGTTATGCCGCAATAAGTGTTAAAAAATAAAACGTCAAATATTGTTTAAATTTTTGTTAAAGACCCGAGCGGAGCCGGAGCGGGCCGCTAGTTTCTTATAAACGAACGAACTAATCATTACGTTGACTTCTATAAGCTATGCACTTACCATAGCAACAGGAAGAGGATGGGCGCCACCATTAGGGTATGGATAAGGAGCCACCAGGTAACCCATGTTGAAGCCAGCCGCCGGATGCGGTTCGAATTTACCTGAAAAAAAAAAAACTCCGTCAATTACTTCAACGAATTTACCTGGAATAAAAATAAACTAGAGGTCCCGCAGTAGTCGAAATTCGACTATAATTAATTGGAATTGTAAGTTTGTATACTATTATGATTGTATTTTATACTTCTATAATCATAAATTTCGCCAAGACTACACTATAAAAAATATTAACAAAGACAAACAATATTTAATCTATTCTCAATTTGACAACGACGTCAAGAACAAAAGTTTGACAATAAATACCTATAGTATGCATGCGTGTGTGCGTCAAATACATGGTATGTAGTGTGTGTAATGTTTTCTTTATTGATTTAATGTAACTTTTATGCATTATTTTAAAAAAAATATTAGCATTGTGCACTTCTTCTCTATATTCTCTATAAGTGTGGAAAATTTCATACTCCTCCGTCCGCGCAATTTTCGTAAAATGGGATACAAAGTTTTTGCTTCACGTATTAATATATAGATACTTCATCAATTACTTCAAAACTGGAGGACCTTGACCACGCAAACTATGAAATGATCGAAGCCCCAGATATAATTACATGTTAATTAAAAATTATTAAGATCATTTAAATGATTAGACCTATTGATAACATGATTAAAGTTTTAGGCGTGATTAAAACGTAAACACCTTTTTTATTTATTAATGAATCATGTTCCAATTTGGTTTTAAATATTGGTCGTCAGCACGAAGAGATATATCTTTGGTCGGAATTCAGTACTGCAGACCTGTTTCTCTGTAGTTCAATAGATTTAATAATACATATTTTATAAATTTTGCGTAATGTACATTCTTTGGAAATACCTCTTGAGTTTCATGTCAATTCTTCGGCATCGATGTAATTGTATTCTGAATTGGTGATGAAGAAGTAAGAACCTTTTTTTAGCCAACTTTAAATTATATAGTCATGAAAATTTAATTTCCAAGAAAATCTGATCCTACCAACAGTAAAAATCTAAAAACTTGGTGCATTTGTAACTTGTACCCCAAATAGGTTAAGACGTTTCCATTTTTTCGTGAATTAAACCGGGTCTACTTATTCATCTTCTTTAAATAAAATTAAAAAAATATGTCGATTACAATAGTTTAGTAATTTTAGGCAAGGTTTCTCGCAAGGTTCACCAGATAGCACACGGAATCCAAGCCGTTTGATTTTACATAGCTGATTTATTTCTTCCGCGACTGCAAATACTTGTTGTAAAGTATATGTAGGTATGTCAGAGAGCACAGGTTCCATTTGTCAGTCACTCAGTATAAAATTTGTGACTCTATATTTAATTTTATAAGACGTCTTCAAAATAAAATATATTTAGTTTTTTAAATGTACATAATATGTAGTGTTTTCATTGACGCCTTATAATACTTTAGTTTGTGCCATTTGACTGTTTTCGTTCGAAGCGGTAGCTCTTATATTCTGGGATAGTTATGATAATTTTTTCATATTTTTATATCCCATTAACGCACATCCACTTTCTAAGACATAATGCTGGAGCCCAGAGACATCTACAACGTAAATGCGCCAACCATCTTGAGATATAAATTCTCTCTCTCTCCGATCGGTTCCTCACTGCTGAGGATCGTGACTCCGTCCGATTTCGTCAACCAACTGTCTCCATCGATCCCGCCCTGCAGCCCGGTGGAGTGCGTCGCTGATAGGTATTCCCAGTTCCTCCGCTATTTGGTCCGACCATCGTTTGGGACCTCTACCCCTAGGCCTTTAAATTAAATTAAATTCTAAGGTCTCAATATAGTTACAACGGCTGCCCCGCCCTTCAAACCGAAACGCATTACTGCTTCACGGCAGAAATAGGCGGGGCGATGATACCTACCCGTGCGGACTCACTAGAGGTCCTACCCTATCTACCGTATAAAAAAAACTGTTAGCTTAAATATTTATCTATAGCTTTCATTTGATATAGTTCTTAAAACTTCACCTTCAAATAAAATTTTATACGAAAATGTTTTTACTCGTTAATTCAAAATAAAGTTTTTGAAAATAGCAGATTTTGGTTTGACAGCGACGATATGTTTGGTCTAACTACAATGGCAATAAACAGATTTAATTTGCCGCTTCTTAAATAAGCGCAACATAATTAATTACATCAAATATAGCGTGTTTGTGTTGAAATGTAATAAATAATACATTATAATTTGTCGTATCTTTAATTTAGTGGAATTCCATTATCAAGTTTATCTAATTTAGATAACAAAATATACATAGTGTTCGTTGCACGTTTCATTGTCAAATTCTTGAACTTGTTTTTTAGCGCGGTTTGGATTATATCATATATATGTGGTATCAATTACCCAAGGCTTCGACTGCACAAGCAAAGGGAAAAGTATCAGTTATATTTTGTAAAGACAATGAAAGAGTTTCCCGACGGAATCCTCTTCCTTGTCTCCACCTTATCCCACTAGGTGGGGTCGGCATAGCGAATTTTTCTATTCCATTCTCCTCTATCAGCCGTCATCTCAACACTCACTCTTTTTCTCATATCGTCATTCACACATTCCATCTATGTATTCTTCTATCAACATATTCCCCATTATTTTGAGAGCATTTTTTCGGGATATTAGGTGGTAGCCTAAATAAAAAAAAACATGTGTGCAATTCATACGTCGTAGAAGTGAAACCTTCAAAAATTAAAATACAATTATCCTAAATGTCTAAGTATATGTAAAATTTTGTCATTAGTAAATAATTGTAAATCATCTTTTATAGTATAGTATAGTATGAGGTAGCGCCCTCTGTGAATTGATATTTTAACTTCACGTATAATGTGTTCTATCTCATTCTTTTTTTTTTATGATTGAAGGATTACTGGTGGCCCGGAGGCCTTTCCAGTTTCACCAGGACAGGTGGGCGAGCAAAGGCTCAGCCAGGAGGGGTGGGATTTGCTAACAGCTACCCGAGCGCCTCCGAAGGAGACCTAACAGCTCAAGAGCAGCTGCTTCGCGAATGAATCTACTACCGGATCGGAATCGCGACCCGCTGAGAAGATCCGGCGAGAAACTCAGCGAGCTGATTCATGGGTTAGGTTGCACGGCGAACTCTTTGTCGAGTTCGACGAGTACGGTTACCGAGGTCCCTAAGCCTGCTCCTAGTGTTAGAGCTGAAGGCGTCTAATGCAAAGGTTATTGGATCTGATGGATCCGTAAGGACGTGTCTAGGGCAATCTATCTCATTCTCTCACCGGCAGAATCCTATACATTTATGTGTTTGTGTCTCTATAGACTTATTTTTTCGTTTCATCAAGTTTGAAATCACAACTACTCTAAAGAAGTTTCACTTCAAAAATGATTGATTTATCATTGACATGCAAAACATTAGCATAAAGTTTTGTACGTATATAAAAAAGAAAATAGTTTTTTTTTTCTTTTCTTCCGGGAACGAAACACGAAACGCGGTGGGTCCGTGGGGCAACTCACACAAATATTGACACAAGCAGACCGCACTCAAACTACGCGTAACGCGTTATAACGACTATTGTACACAACGTATGCTGTTGTGTGCATTCGATTTGTAAGTTATACCATTTTGGAGTTGCCACCTAAAAAAAATGCATTTTTCGTCTTCGAGTTCAATAGAGGCAAAAAAATACGATTTCAGTATCTCAATACGTAAGCACTAGCTCTTACTGTACTGTTTGCTAAGAATTTAAATCTAAATCGCAAGCACTTTTTTTTTTTTTTATAGCTTAGATGAGTGGACGAGCTCACAGCCCACCTGGTGTTAAGTGGTTACTGGAACCCATAGACATCCACAACGTAAATGCGCCACTCACCTTGAGATATAAGTTCTAAGGTCTCAAGTATAGTTACAGCGGCTGCCCCACCCTTCAAACCGAAACGCATTACTGCTTCACGGCAGAAATAGGCGGGGTGGTGGTACCTACCCATGCGTACTCACACGAGGTCCTACCACTTTGTTTATTTGATTGCACAAGTAAGTAAATACCTAGTTAACGAAGCCGAGACGATCAGAATAGTGCGATTCACCGCGGCTAGTCGAATTTCAATAAGTTCGTAAGGCTGACCAATTCTGGTCTCAATATGGGTATGGCCCTCTAGATAAAATTTAAGGAATGAGTTCTTCCTAAATAGTGATATGAGAACTAGTGGTGGGGAAGTAGTGGTTGTAGCACGAATCGGCCAAACCCATTTACAGATGTCACGATGAAAAAGGCTGACAGAAATATCAATAAATAATTTAGCAGTGTAAGCTGTAAAATATAAGTATAAAAAAAAGCTACACCCACAACCCTATTACATTTACCGAGCAACGACATATAAAAAAAAGATACATTTAAAATTGCCCCAAAAAATTCACATAAAGACATGTCACAACAAGGTACAGGCGAGGTGTTTTTATTACTCAAATAAAATCGATAATCAGCCGAGTTGAGTCATTCGGGTCGGGTAGGAAAAAACTACCTGTGTGGGGTCCGGTAACACTCGCGGTCACCAAGATTTACGAGTTAACACGGACGCGAAACAAAACCTGCGAAATATATTTTAGAAAGGACATACAAATTGGATATTTCTCTTTTTTTTTTAAATTGAATTTAACCATCGCCACATACCAGAAAAAGTGGCTATTTCTTGTGAGGCGTACAACATCTGGCCACAGCAATGATACCAAATAACGACCACGACCGCTCTGACAAGCGTGATACGACAAAGGAGAGATGAATACCCAGATGTTTAACTTGCACAATCTTTGTTATTTTATCATTGTTATTGAGTATCGATCGTATTAATCGATCTCTAACCAGTACGATTGCAAAACGATTTTCAAACCGAAAACTTTAACAACAAATAATGTTACATATCGTCGCTTTCAAACCAAAATCTGCTCTATGCAAAAACTCTATTTTGAATTAACGAGTAAAAACATTTTCGTATAAAATTTTATATGAAGGTGAATTTTTAAGAATTATATCAAATGACAGCTATAGATAAATATTAAAGCTACATAGG